CATAAATACGATTTTTACAAATAACTCGTCTCCAGCGCCACCTAGCGGGTCTATTTTTCGCATACGTATTTCCCATCATGTAGGTACCACACGTTTTGAATATGAACGAAATCTGTTCATAAATACGATTTTTACAAATAACTCGTCTCCAGCGCCACCTAGCGGGTCTATTTTTCGCATACGTATTTCCCATCATGTAGGTACCACACGTTTTGAATATGAACGAAATCTGTTCATAAATACGACTTTTATAAATAACTCGAACCAAGCGCCGCCTAGCGAGTTTTCTGGTAGGCTATAATAGGACCATATATGCAAGGTACAACCTCTGAAAATTTGACTGAAATCCATGCAGTAGTTTGTGAGTTAACTCCGAACAACGAAAACGGATATTATTTTATACATATAGATTATCTTGATTTTCGAGCTTAACTCCCTATTGTGTATTTAGAAAAAGAGATCAGCCATAAAAAATTATAATTATAACAAGTAAGAAAGTCTAAGTTCGGGTAGAATATTAAATACCCGGCGCAAGTATTAAATATATGTTTTTCACCTTTCCGAAACCTACCGCTAGATGGTAAGCCGGGGTGTATCAATTTTGAGTAAATTAGCGTCCCCAAATTTGAAAATATTGCAGTTTCAAGCATTTATGAAATTTACCGTTATATGAAAAGCGGCCGTAATTTTAGTCTGATTTCAATAATTTCCAACGTTTTGCTTTTATGTGGCAAGCACAAGAAAAATGCAGAGTTTGGTACAGATTGATAGAACGGTTACCGATATACATATATGTGGTCATAAGTGGGCGGTGCCACGCCCATTTCGCAAAATTTAACCATAAACGTATTTCTTGGTAAAGAATTGTTGCGAGCATCAATTTTGAATAAGTTAGCTTTAATATTTACTGATTTATCGAAGATTTTGTACTTCTCTAAATTACCGTTATATGGGATGTGGGCGTGGTTATTGCCCGAGTTTTTAAATTTTCGGCCATTTAGTATGCTGTAGCAAGGCCAACAACCGTGCTAAGTTTGGAAGAAATTGGTGCAGCGGTTACCAAGATATACACATGTAACCATAAGTGGGCGTGGCTACGCCCATTTTCCAAAAATTTTAATATTCTTATTTTTCGTCGGAAAATTATTGTAAATATCAATTTTGAGTGAATTATATTCAGTTGTTACTAAAATATCGCAGTTTTCGTATTTCTGGAAATTACCGTTATATGGGAAGTGGGCGTGGCTACAGTCCGATTTCGCCCATTTTCAATACCTACCTACCTTGGATTAACAGAAACCTACGTACCAAATTTTGTTGAGATATCTCAATTGTTGCTCGAGTTATCGTGTACACGGACGGACGGACAGACAGACATGGCTTAATCGATTTCCCTATTCATTCTGAGCATTTATGTATACATTTGTCTATATCTATCTCGATTCGTTTTGGCTGTTACAAACAACCGTTATGTGAACAAAATTAATATACCCTTGTGCACAAGTGCGCTTGGTTATAAAAATATCTCAGATTAAACCGATAACTTTTTGGTGTCCAACCTAAGATTATCGATTATACATGCGAAGAAGAGGAGGAATGTCAAATGTAAAAGTAAACAAAAATTGGCGTTAGCAAGGAAAAGAGTTTTGTAAAGGTATTTTTAATCAAATATTAAGTTAAAACATATTTAAGTAGCATAATATGTGTAGCAGAAAAAAGTGACCACGGTGGCACAAAGAAGAACCTTAACTTTTTCTCGAATTGTGATTGAGATTATATTTTTATGTTAACGTCCTTTAATGCTTTGCCGTACGCATATGTTTACACATCAAATTTCATGGATACTTTGTACTCATGCCTTTTTTTCGAATGGTGGCAACCCTATCCAAATTCTTTTCTATATTAAATTTTTTGTGCATTCTCGGTGAAATAGAATTTTTGCGGCTTATGTAAATTTCTTCTTTTTTTTGATATATCAGGTATCTGGCAACACCATTTTTCCAATTTTTCTTTACGAACCTTCTACAGATAGAAAGAAATAAAATTAAATAAAAACGAAGCAAATCCATTGGCCGTTCTTGAGTTACGCGATAACTCTCGACGGCATATCATTTTTGTATATAACGATTTTTTTCGAATGGTGGCAACCTTATTTAAATTTTTTTATACCCGTGCGCACTGGCGCACAAGGGTATTATAACTTTGCTCGCATAACGGTTGTTTGTAACAGCCAAAAAGAATTGAGGTAGAATAGACAAATGCATACATAAATGCTCAGAATGAAAAGAGAAATCGATTAAGTCTGTCCGTCTGTCTGTCCGTGTACACGATAACTCGAGCAAAATTTCAGATATGTCAACCAAATTTGGTATGTAAGTTGCCCTCTATCCAAGGTAGGTTGGGATTGAAAATGGGAAAAATAACCACGCCCGCCTCCAATATAACGATATTTTCGAAATATGCAAAAACTAAGATATTTCAGCAAATACTGGATCCAAATTATTGAAAGTTGGTATTTGAAATAGAATTTTTTAAAATAAGACAGTTGTGAATTTTTCTTTAAATGGGCGTGGCCCCGCCCTCTTAAGATGAAATGTCGTATCTCTGTAGTCCCTTTACCAATCCCCACAAAACTCGGTGCGAACATTGCTTGGGGCCTCGCTAAGAAACCCGGTGAAATTTTTTTTAATCAGACAAGAACTACGCCCACCTGCCATATAACGATAATAAATTAGTAACTGTTTAAGCTAGTTTGGCACCGAACACTTACGCCTGCATATGTATGTGTATCTCGATACCCGGTTTATCAATTTCTACCAAACTCGGTACATTTAGCAACCTTGGCGCAAAAAAGCAAACCGTTAAAAATTTGTGAAATCGGACTAAAATTACTGCCACTTACCAAATAACGGTAAATTTCAGAAATACGAAAACTCCGATCTTTCAATAACTAAAGATGCCAACTTACGACAATCTTTAAACAAGACACAAGATTATTGATTTTTGTTAAATGGGCGTGGCACCCATATAACCCCCTTATCGATCTCCACCAAATTCTGTCCAATTATTTCAATATATCATATCATATTATTGAAACTGTTTGACATCGGGAAAAATACTTTTCCTTATCATTCAGTTTGCTGAATGGTGAAAAAACGATATCTAATACGTGCACCGGGTATATAAAGTTCGGTTTTTCCCGAACTTATACTTCTTTACTTGTTCCGTTTTAAATTTGTTTATACATTCTCAGTGAAATAGCACTATTGCGGCTTCTTTAAATAATTTTTTTTTTTATATTTCAGATATTTGGCAACACCATTTTTCTAATTACAAACCTTCTACAGGCAGAAAGAAACAAAATTAAATGAAAACGAAGCAAATCCGTTGAACCGTTCTGCCATAACACACGAACAGCAATTCATTTTTACATATAAAGATTTTTTCGAATGGTGGCTACCCTATTCAAATTTTGTTCTGTTTTAAATTTGTCTATATATTCTCAGTGAAACACCACTATTGCTGCTTATTTAAATTTTTTTTTTTTTGATATTTCAGATATTTGACAACACCATTTTTCGAAACTTTTTCTTTACAACCCTTCTACAAACAGAAATAAAAGAAATGAAATGAAAACGAAGCAAAACCGTTGAACCCTTCTTGAGTTATGCGATAACACACGACAGCAATTCATTTTTAAAAATAAAGATTTTTTTCGAATGGTGGCAATCTTATTCAAATTTTTTTCTGTTTTAAATTTGTTTGTACATTCTCAGTGAAATAGCACTATAACGGCTTCTTTAAATAATTTTTTTTTTTATATTTCAGATATCTGGCAACACCATTTTTCCATTTTTTCTTTACAAACCTTCCGCAGATAGAAAGAAAAGAAACGAAATGAAAACGAAGCAAATCCATTGAGACTTTTTTGAGTTATGCGATAACACATCAACAGCAATTCATTTTTATATATGGGCAAATCTAAAAAACAGGTAACCTCTGTGTTAATTAGCTTTATTTTCAATGTTGTAAACTATATCAAGCACTTCCGGTTTTAAACTTGTGGATGGCAGACTTGTGCGATAATAAAAGCTATTTGACAAAATTCAATATACTGAATTTAAAACTAAAAACTTTTCAAAAATACACCTGAATTAACATCAAGAAATGTTAAGGATTTTCTGAACACTTCCCAATAATTCACTCAAATAGCTGTCGACGTATGATGAAAATAGGCTCTCTGAGCGGTGTGACAGTTACGACATCATCAAAAAGAACCGCACGCGTTTTTCACTACGCATTTCAGTTTTTGTATTCTTTTCGCTCATCAAATATTTATTCCATTTAACATCATCATAATTGTAATCAAAATACTTTAATAAATATTCTCGCGTTAGTACAAATAAACGATTGCTCATCATTTATCTTGGAAACAATTCCTGGCATCCCTCAACATAACCCCAAACATTTTGGCATCCCTTGCGGGGAGTGGCGAAAACGGCGCACCAAATCAATCAAACTTCGTTGTTTGTCATCAAGAAGTTGGGCTTTCCACGGTTCAATACATATTTTTCATCGAAATTCATAAGCTAACTTCAGGGCAAACACCGCATTTTAAGTTTCACACATTGATTATATGTACGTGTACGTGTACGTATGTAAGTACATATATCAACCTTATTGGTGACGTCACGTAAGATTGCGCACTTGCATACGACACTCATTCCCTTTGAAGCATCATTTGGGCGAGAGCGATCATAACTTTGTACGTAACAAAAGTTGGACTTTGGCAGCACTGGGTTTACTGTCAAACAGCACAAAGCAAAACAACGAGTTATCCATTGCCGGAGTGGTAACACGGTGAGCAAAGCAAATAGGAACGAGTACATTTAGCAAAGGCAAACTAGCAACAGGCTGATTTTGAGGTCTAGTGGCAACTTCGGCTTGTGTTTACATTTTGTTACAGAAATAAATTCGTAGCACACATTCCTTTAACTAAGATGCAGGTTCATCTGACCAAAATTCAGGGAGTTGCGTTGCGCATAACCAACTTCATGACCAACACGCGAAAGGTGGCAAAGGACCGTCGATCTGCAGGCTATTTGACAGCAAGAAAAACATTACTGGAATCTTATTGGATGGAATACAACACATGTTATGAAGAACTAAGGTTGTTCGCTGCGACTGCTGAGAAGGGTGTTGATGTTACTGCGGTGAATGAATATTTGAGCAAAGATGATCATTCGTCCGTAGAAATGTTGTTTACAGAAAACCTGGGCGAATTAATTGACGACATCAACGCATTGCGAACAGAATCTTACAACATTACTACAAACGCGGAAAATTCAACAAACCCAACGACTGTTTGTGTACAGCAAATGACTACGTTACCACGAATTAAGATTCCAACTTTTGATGGGAATTTTCTGCACTGGTACGCATTCAAAGATTTGTTTGAATCGGTTGTGTCTAATCATTCAAATTTGAGTAACACACAGAGACTTCAATATCTCAAAGACGCGCTGATTGGTGATGCGGAACATGTTCTTGACAATATAGTGACAACAGATGCGAATTTTCAAGTTGCATGGGACATTCTTGTTAAGAAATATGAGAACAAGCGCATAATTATCAACTCGTATTTAACTCAAATCATGAATTTGCCGAAAGTTGATGCTGAAACTGCAAGTCAATTACGGGTGTTGTGTGACGGAGTAACAGCAGCATTGCGTGCGTTACAACATCTTGGTCGTTCAGTATCACACTGGGATGACTGGCTCGTATTTATAATCGTCAATAAATTGGATGTTGCTACACGTAAGGCTTGGGAACTGTCTCTTAGCTCAAGCGATGAAGTGCCAACGTTTGAACAGATAAAGAAGTTCCTTGAGAATCGTATTCAATCATTGGAGGTCATAAAGTTAGCGTATGATGAACCTCAGAAGGCAGCTAAACCGAAAACAACAGTCAAAGGCTATCACACTTCAACTGCAACATGTCCGATATGTTCGGATAAGCATATCGTTCAGCACTGCAAACAATTTAAGGCCTCAAGTGCAAAGAAAGAGCTGGTCATGTGTCATAAGTTATGCTTCAATTGTCTACGGCAAGGACATATGTTACGGGTGTGTCCGTCCGAGGGGCGTTGCACAGTTTGCAAAGCAAAGCACAACACATTATTGCACGGTGTATTTTGTAATAAGGCCGAACCTAATGTGGCACAAAAAGGAGTGTCGCAAAGTAATTCAGCGGATTCGAGTACAACGAATGTAACAGCCTCTATAACAGCCAATAACACATGTATTGGAAACACGTCGAACCATTCACCAGCTTCTTTGCCGACAGTGCTGTTGGCCACCGCGTTTGTGGAAGCACGTGGTCCGAATGGACACAGACAAATCTTGCGAGTATTAATCGATAATGGAGCTGAAGCTACGTTCATTAGTGAGTTTGCAGCACGACAGATGCAGTTACAACGTACAGTCGTTAAGATCCCGATAAGCGGTGCATCTGGTACGAGCGTGGCTTGTGCGAAGGCATTGGCCAAAGTCACTATTCGATCACTACAATATGATTTTGAGATGGAGTGTATCGCCTTGGTACTTCCAAGGGTAGGGAACATTACACCTAGTAAGCACATCCCGAATACCGAATTCCCAGAATTGGGTCAGCTAAAGTTAGCTGATCCCAAGTGGTACCAACCCGGTGCTATTGACATCATCATGAGTGCGGCAGACTACGCCATGATAATACGCAACGAGGTTAAACAAAGCGCTACTAATGGAATGGTGGCACAGCATACGCAACTAGGCTGGATCATCTTTGGTGGGTTATCTGATCATAAGGGTATGGCTGATACTCACAAAGCCCAGTGCTACAACACACACATCGACTTGGAGCATACCTTACGTCTTTTCTGGGAACTTGAGGAACTCAACGAGCATCAAACCCTGACGGAAGATGAAGTATACTGCGAAAAACTGTTCGAGCAAACTACAAGGCGTAACAGTCTGGGCCGATACATCGTGAAACTCCCTGTGCGAAAGGGCGTTGACCTTCAGCAGCTTGCACCTAGCAAGCAAGATGCGCTAGTCTTGTTAGAACATACACATCGACGGCTTGCTCGCGAACCTGAACTTAGTACAGGTTACAACAAGTTTATGGAAGAGTATCGTAAACTCGGGCACATGGAGGTGTCGAACGACAACAATGCTATTCGCATGTGCTATTTACCACACCACGGTGTGTGGAAGGCTTCGAGCACTACTACAAAACTTCGTGTGGTGTTTAATGCTGCACGAAAATACTCCACTGGGGTATCGCTAAACGACTGTCTGTACACTGGGCCGTAGTTGCAGAATGATTTGGCGAATATTTTGCTGAACTGGCGACAATACAAATTTGCATTTACGGGCGACATCGAGAAAATGTACAGGCAGATTTTGGTGGACCGCGAAGATACTGAACTTCAACGAATCTATTGGCGAACTCCTACAGAGGATTCACCCACCAGCTACACGCTACTGACCGTAACGTATGGGACTAATTGTGCACCGTACTTGGCACTTAAAGTCTTACGACGTCTCGCAAATGATGAGCGAGAGAAATTCCCTCAAGCGGCAAAGTCACTCGAAACTGAATTTTACGTAGATGACGTCTTATCCGGAGGTGACACACACGCTGACGTTATCAACAATATACATCAATTAAAATCGCTGCTGCAGGCAGACTCATTGGAGTTAGGCATGAGCGACCAGACCAAGGCTTTGGGAATCGTTTGGCTTACTCGTACTGATATGCTAACGTATAGTATCGATTTGGATTACAGCATTACGTGCTTCAACAAACGTCAACTGGCGAGTGATGTTGCTAGAGTATTCGATCCGTTGGGACTCGTGGCTCCTGTAACTGTAAGAGGCAAAATCTTTTTGCAGCGGCTATGGGACCGGAAGTTAGATTGGGGTGAGACCCTGCCCCAAGATCTTCAGCACGAATGGAAAAGTTATCGAAACGAATTACAACAACTTCAAAATTTGCATATCCCGCGTTGGCTAAAAGTAGTCGCGAACTGCACCGTGGAACTACACGCTTTCTCAGACGCATCGAGCGCAGCGTACGCTGCTGCAATCTACATAAAGGTAACAACTGACGGTTATACCTCAGTCAATTTGCTAATGGCGAAAACGAAAGTGGCACCTTTAAAGCGACTGTCAATTCCACGACTTGAGTTGTGTGGTGCTAGTCTCGCTGCGGTTCTCTTGGCAAAAACCAAAGATGCATTATCGTTCAAATTTGATCGATGTCTACTGTGGACGGACTCCGTAACTGCGCTCTGTTGGATCCGATCGTCACCAGGCAAATTGAAGCAGTTTGTTTCGAACCGTGTCACGCAAATTCAGAACGTCACTTCCGACGCAGCCTGGCGCTATATTTCAACGAAGGACAATCCGGCAGATTGTGCTTCGAGAGGTATTTCGGCCAACAATTTACTGTCCAACACACTATGGTGGAACGGGTCAGCATGGCTTTCCTTGAATGAACAATACTGGCCTCAACACAAAATAAACTTTCCGGAAAATATCCCGGAAACCAGAAAAGTCACTGTTTGCACAGTGCAACTTAATAATCAACTTAATAATCACTGCAAAATATTCGAGCCTTGACAAACTCATCGCTATAATTGGATGGTGCTTACGGTTTGCAAATAAGTGCCGAAATAAATCGAGTGTTCTGACATCGTTTTGCACCTGGCCAGAACGGTACAAAGCGCTAAAGATACTCATTAAGATGACGCAACAAACTGAATTTAAGCAAGAAATTTTAGCTCTACAACAACAACAAGAACTTTCAAAAAAAAGTAAGCTAAGAAAGCTGAGTCTAACACTGGATTCTGAAAGCATTATGCGTCTACGCGGGCGATTGCAACAAGCAGATATGCCGTTCAACGAAAGATGCCCTATTGTCATGCCCAAACGGCATCCTCTCACGTCTTTAATTGTGCACCATGCTCATAAGCGGTGTCTTCATGGCGGTACGCAAGCAACACTGGGTTATGTAAGACGCCAGTTCTGGGTTATCGATGGACGTACGGAAGTGAAACGCGTAATACGCAGCTGTGTCAAGTGTTATCGCCATAGCTGCACCCCACAAAAGTAAATGATGGGCGACCTTCCGGCAGCACGTTGCACTGTAACATTCCCGTTCATGCACACCGGCGTCGATTACGCTGGACCACTCAATATACGAGCAACCAAGGGGCGGGGACACAATAGTTATAAAGGTTACGTGGCATTGTTCGTTTGTTTGGCCAGTAAAGGCATTCATCTTGAGTTGGTAAGCGACATGACAACTCAATCATTTATTCATGCATTAGAACGTTTTGTAGCTGCACGTGGCATCTGCTCAGACATGTATAGCGACAGAGGTACTACCTTTGTTGGTGCTGACGCGCTCACGAAAGAAGAACTTAAAGAATTTCGGAAGCAGTTGGACGCCGCGGCTAGCTATGCCTCACGGACTGGTATAAACTGGCACTTCATACCCCCAGGAGCTCCAAACTTTGGCGGGCTTTGGGAAGCCGGCGTTAAAAGCATGAAAGCCTTGTTAAAACGCACAATCAACACTACAACACTCACCTTTGAAGAATTTTACACAGTGCTCAAGCGAGTCGAATCGTGTCTAAACTCTAGACCACTTACGGCACTCACAGATGATCCTACGGATTTCGCTGCGTTGACACCAGGGCACATGCTAATTGGACGCGCTCTTACCAGCGTGCCAGAACCTAATCTTCTCGATACAAAGAGTGGTGTTTTGTACCGCTGGAAACAACTTAGCCAGATATATCAAGACTTCTAGAGCAGATGGTCTGTAGAGTATTTACATCATTTGCAAGTTCGCTCCAAATGGCATAAACAAGAACCGAATGTCAAGGTTGGAGAACTTGTGCTTGTTAGAGATGAAAAAGCACCCCTACTCAATGGAAACTGGCTCGAATTACAGACACCCATCCGGGCTCTGATGGACTTGTTCGCGTCGTGAGCTTAAAAACGGCAACTACCGCGTTCCAGCGAAAATATCTGTGCTGCCTATTCCTTCAGAAACGCCCAAGTCCTCGGACTAGGACACCTACGGTGGGCGGCGAACGTGATTTTCGTCGACATACGGGGGAAATGTTAAGGATTTTCTGAACAATTTTCGCTCATCAAATATTTATTCCATTTAACATCATCATAATTGTAATCAACATACTTTAATAAATATTCTCGCGTTAGTACAAATAAACGATTGCTCATCATTTATCTTGGAAACAATTCCTGGCATCCCTCAACATAACCCCAAACAAGAAACCTAACTAAAGATAATCAAACTAAAAATTATGCTGTAGAAAGAAGGATCGACGGGAAAAAAAAGGATTGGAGCTGGCCGAAGGAGGAGCAGCTGGCAACGTGGGAGACAGGACAGGAGGTCTAAAGGGTGATAGGTATTAGGACACATAAGGGAAAACAAAGAAAAATAGGAAATACAGAAGTGCAAAAAGTTATGACCAGGTAAGTCTCTGAAAACGTTTTCATTACTATATACATATACACAAGAAGAATACTGTGCTTAATATAAAATGGCCGACGCGTCAGCGTCGGAAAATGCTGAGGGGGATAGCTCCGTGGTTGCCGCGGACTGGTTTATAGCTGGCAAAAGCCAAAGAAAAAAAGAAAATGCTAGAAAAATTTTAACCAAATCGGACAGAACAGTAATGGAATCGGACAACGAGGATCCAGAAAATAGAACAGTGACTAACCAAAATCCCAAGACAGACAAGAACAGTGAAATTGTACCAATGAAAGGAATTTTAGTACCTAAATGTGCAGATCCAAAACCTATTGCTAGGCAGGCATTGGAAAAACAAGGTCAGACAAACACAACCGACAGTGGGACATAAAAAGATAGAATACAAAACAGTGCATTTTACACAGAGAGACATAGTGGTGAATTTTTAGTTCTTATAGACACCTCGGAATCACCGTTATTCAGAAATGAAAAAATTAGGAATGGTCTCTTTCTGTTGGTCAAAATCCGTAATTTTGGCATCTGCGGTATTAAAAATATAAAAGCAATTGGAAAATCTCTATACAAAGTAGCTTTCAAAACGTGAGCATTAATAATGAAAACTTAAAAAAAAAACAAGTTACGAGCGTTTATACCGAAAAAATTTGTAGAAACAATGGGAGTAGTGAAGAATGTCCCATTGGATTTTACAGAAGAGGAAATCCTTAACAATATTAGATCAGACCACAAAGTTACATCTGTGTCAATGATTATGAGACGCGACCTAGAAAATAAAGAGAAATTCATTCCAGCCTTTGCTGTAAAAATTAGCTTTGAAGGCAATGTATTTCCAGAGCACATTGACATTTTTTTTGTAAACTTTAAAGTTTCCCATTATATACCGAGAATCAGGCAATGTTACAACTGTGGTCGACTAGGGCACACCAAACTAGGGTGCAAAGCAAAGAATAGATGTATTATGTACGGAAAAACCGAAGGCTGTGAACAAAATTGCAAAAAGGAAAATAATTGCATTCTCTGTGGTGGGCAAAATCACAATGCTCTGAACAGAAAAGCGTGCTCTAAATGGGAAGAGGAGAAAACTATAGTAGAAATAATGACAATTAAAAAACTTTCCAAATATGAGGCTATGGACATGTACAAGAGTGCCGTGACAAATAATAACCGTTTCAGAATACTAAGCGACTATGAAGCAGAATACCCAGAGATTAAAAACAGTGAGAACAACCGCATAAGGCTTTTATCGGGTCCGTTTTTCGCAAATGCTTTTTTCATCATGCAGGTAGCTTATACGTTGAATTTGAACGAAATCGGTTCATAAATACATCTTTTATAAATAACTCGGCTCCCGCGCCACCCAGCCGGTCTATTTTAGGTAAACGTACCATCATGCTGGTAGCTTACATTTTGAATTTAAAAGAAATCTGTTCAAAAATACGATTTTTACAAATAACCCGTCTCCAGCGCCAGACCCGCTAGCTATTTTTCGCATACGTATTTCCTATCATGGAGGTAGCACACGTTTTGAATATGAACGAAATCTGTTCATAAATACGACTTTTATAAATTACTCGACCCAAGCGCCACCTAGCGAGTTCTCTGGTAGGCTATAATAGGACCATATATGCAAGGTACAACCTCTGAAAATTTGACTGAAATCTATGCAGTAGTTTTTGAGTTAACTCCGAACAACGTAAACGGATATTATTTTATACACATAGATTATCTTGATTTTCGAGCTTCTCCCTAATGTGTAATTAAAAAAGAGATCAGCCATAAAAAATTATAATTATAACAACTAAGAAAGTCTAAGTTCGGGTGGAGCCGAACATTAAATACCCGGCGCAAGTATTAAATATATGTTTTTTCACCTTTCCGAAACCTGCCGCTAGATGGTAAGCCAGGGTGTATCAATTTTGAGTAAGTTAGCGTCCTTAAATTTGGAAATATTGCAGTTTCAAGCATTTATGAAATTTACCGTTATGTGAAAAGCGGCCGTAATTTTAGTCTGATTTCAATAATTTTCAACGTTTTGCTTTTATGTGGCAAGCACAAGAAAAATACCGAGTTTGGTACAAATTGATAGAACGGTTACCGATATACATATATGTGGTCATAAGTGGGCGGTGCCACGCCCATTTCCCAAAATTTAACCACAAACGTATTTCTTGGTAAAGAATTGTTGCGAGCATCAATTTTGAATAAGTAGCTTTAATATTTACTGATTTATCGAAGATATTGTATTTCTCTAAATTACCGTTATATGGGATGTGGGCGTGGTTATTGTCCGAGTTTTTAAATTTTCGGCCATTTAGTATGCTGTACCAAGGCCAACAACCGTGCTAAGTTTGGAAGAAATTGGTGCAGCGGTTACCAAGATATACACATGTAACCATAAGTGGGCGTGGCTACGCCCATTTTCCAAAAATTT